AGAATTATAATTATGGCGGTATATTTGAATATGTAGTGCCACTACAGTAGTGGTTATGTTAACTTAACAAAAAGATGCAGAGTACAACAAAAGTACTAACATTTTTGGCATAGTCATGAAATACATCTCATCGAGTTTCCATGTATTTATTTTAAAATCCGTTTCACACTTCCTTACTTTTTTTAAATGTCATTTTTGACACAGGTCATTAAAAATTGATCAAATGTATCAATTCTTTCCTGTATTATCTGTTTAAAACCCGTCCACAACATCCTCATTCACTCTTCAGTTCCTCATTTAATTTTTTCTTATAATTTTATTTCATTTATATATTTTATACGCCTACCTTTTATGCATATTTATAACGTTTCCTTTTCTTCCAAGTCCATTAGATAGACAAACAATTATTGTCTTGATCCACTAATTTAAATAATGTGTCTTGATCCTATTAGAACTAGCTAACTATGCTACGCGAAATTAAAGAGTTTAGTTATTAAATACACTACCAAATCTGACAACATCGCCGGACGCTCAGAAATCGACAGAATAAAAGCAAAATATACAAGCGGACGCTAGGTAGTGGCAATATAAAAGATTTGCTGTATTTTTTGGACGCTTAGAGGCGGTTTTATGTAAGGACGCTTGGAAATCTGTAGTTTAAAAAGTCAAAAATTAAAATGGTCAAAATTTGAAGTCAAATGACCCCCAACGACATCTACTATTAAAAGATTAAAAATATTCACTTGGTAATATAGTATTTATTTGAAAAACATGGGGTGGACGCTCAGAGGAGGAATCGTGAAAGGACGCCGGGAAGATAGCAAGATGTATATATATATATATATATATATATATAGATATATATATATATATATATATATATATATATATATATATTATATATTATAATATCATTTAAACTATTTTTTTAAATTATTACTCTCCCGGTTTTAACAGAAACGATATCAACGATGTTATTTTAAATGAATCATCACATTTTTTTTACATTATCATTCCTTATAAAATGGCTATACCTAAACTTAATAGTTTTTGAGATTAATTTTTTTTGTAAAATTCGATCAGTTTCACCCTCAACAAAAAAGCTTATAAATTTTTTAATATTAGGTTTACTAATATTCGGTTGGATTTATTGGAATCCTGAAGCATTGTTTTAAATATTCTATATTATTTATTGTAATATTTCTAAAAAGATACTTGATAAAAAACAATGTGAATGTAGCTAACTTAAAACAGCAATAACTTTTTTATTCTCAAAGGAACACCCTGTATATTTTTACATAATTAAATATGAAATACCTTTTCATTGATTGATTAAACTATTCCCGATACCTAAAGTTAATATTAAGAAAGATTTTTACAATTACCCTAATAATATGAAGAAAAACTAATAAAATGTTGCTCATATGTATTAATTTGGTATGAATAACAAAACTTTCCCTATATTTATTATTATTAAAATAAAGGAAAATAACTATTCAAAAGAAGTTAATAAAAATATTTATTCTTAATGGATAACCAAATTAAAGGTAGAACATACAACAAGTTTCTGCATGTTCTAGCAATAAGTTTTTCATATTGTCCATGAAGAATGAACAAGTTCATCAAAACTTCATTTAAATAGTGATTTTCCTTCATTTTTACTATTTTATTAACAATTTGTATTATTTTAAAAAATTATTTTTATTTAATTAATGAATTTTTAACCTTATTAGTAAGTAATAATATAGGTACTTTTTTCTACTCCCACCTTTAAAACGCCCTTTATCGTACATGTTTCTATGACACTAAGTGACCTTTTAAATACACATTGACAAGTTGTGGCTTTACGGCGCTTTAGTCACGGGCTGAAGTTAGCAACAGGTTTTTAGTCACGGGCTGAAGTTAGTTTTAAGTTAGTTGACAGTTGTCAAATGTCATACAATCGTTAAAATAAAGTGCCTTTCTTGTAAAATAATACTAAATGGGAAAATTATTTTATTATCTCAATACAAAAATACAAAAATATTAGATAGTTTCTCAACGCCAATATTTGAAAAGTTTATATACTGCTGTAATAAACATTTAAAAAAAAACTCAAAAGCTATCGATAACTATCGGTAGGCCGACTACTGAACTATCTATTGATAGTTTTCGATCTCAAGACTGAAGAATCGGTTTCGCATAGTGGGGCAGAAAATCGGACTCGGTTCCCGAATTGTCAGCATGGTAATTTTCAGCAAACACGGACCGACCCGGTGACACACATGCAGGAACAATCCTACGGACACAAACAATAACGACCAAAACATAGACCAAGACGTAGGCCCCTGAAGCAAAAAAAACAACTCCCGAACAGTACTCCCAAATATTTGGAGTAATACGACCTGCCTGATCTAGGGGGATACCGCGTCGTACTTTGATTTGACTCGGCGTAATTGTCCCCCATACACAAAAATGTCTATCCCTTTCGTCCTAACTTCTTCATGACCCTACTGGGCGTATATCATCGGTCCGGCGAACCCGGGAATGGCTATTAAAACTATTGGCATTTCGCTATCGAGCCCTAAATAGGGGACAGTACGGGTCGCAATGGACACTCGCACCCAGCAAACACGGGTAAAGCCGTGCCGTTACTGGTGCCGAAAGAAAATCAGCGTAAGGAAACAGAGGCCTATGCGGGGTCCGGGATTCATGAGGCAATAGGGCCGGTTATACGTCTCTTATATTCATACTCATAGGATACTAAAAATATTAACAATTTAATTTTAACTAATTTATCGTCTGTCATGTCTAAGAAACTCTTTAAAATGTCCCCTTTCAACTTCCAAACACTTTCTCAATCTTTTTCTAGATAAATTTCGTACACTTGATAAATAAATTAAAATTATTTTTTAGTATCTTATAATATAATAAATCATAATTCCGAAGCAAAACCGTAAATCAAATATTTCGTTGGACACATGCCTAGTTTATTTCGTAGATTGGATTTTTTTTAAGTACAACATCCCTATTAAAAATTGAACTATCGGCTATCGGCTTCAAGCGCACGAATCGCACGAATTACAAAACTGTTTTTATAAATTTATATTTTTATTTTTATATTTATATAGATAATTTATTATAAAATATTTTCCATCAAAATTGTCAAAAATATTCTTCTTTTATTAGGTTATACGTTAAATAAAAAAATCGCAAGAAATATTTTATAAAAGTAGAGATAATTTTAATAATTAAAAGGTGTGGACGAGAAAAAAAAGATTTATCTTGTCCCGTCCACACCTGTCAATTATTAAAATTATGTCTACTTTTGTAAAATATTTTGTGCGTTTTTTTATTTTATGTATAGTCTAATAAAAGAAGAATATAGGTATATCACAATTTTGATGCAAAAATAATATATAATTACCTACAATTTTTTTTATAAAAATAGTTTTGTGATTTGTCCCGTCCGTATGCTTGAAATGGCCGCTATGTCAATAAACAGAACTGTCGCATTTGGGGGACTAAGAATCCAAGAGTGATCCTTCAACATCCCGTGCATCCTGAAATGGATTTCGCAGACATGTGGTTTTAATAGAGCAACGCAACCTGCCACACAGCGAACGAAAACAATGGAATTGCGGAGATGTGTTGTGGCCACCACGATCATGCGATTTAACGCCGCTAGATTTCTTTCTTTGGGTTTTTTTTTTAAGGGAAAGGTGTATGCCAATAACCCAACAACAGTGAACTAAAAGACGAGATTGATGAAATTGAGCCCACGCTATGCCAAAATGTTATCGAAAATTTTTTTAAACGAATCAACCAAACATTTTGAACTTAAATACTTAAATTTTGTATAATTTGGAAAATTAGTCGTCCATCTTGGAGCTAAACACCCTAATTGCTCTGTTTTGTACTTGAATACCCCGGCCGAGGTATTCATTTCTTCGATAACACTTATGGGTGTCGATGAAGTATGAATAAATTTACGTTTTTTGTAATTTGGCTCATCGTGACCAACATCGTATAATATTAAGTGCATTATTCAACGAAAAACTAAACAACTAAAGGATTAAAATAAAATAATTTATTATTTATATGTATTTAGCCATATAACAAAACTGAACCAATTGGTCCTGGAGTGCGTTCGAAATAAGAGTGTACTTTTGATATGGTTTAAGGATAGGTATATAATAACGTGACTTTACATTATACCTGACTCCCTTGTTATTTTTGAATGCCACAGACTTTATACCTATAAGCTTTGTGTTGGAGTGTTTTAAAACCAATTAATTTAGCTTGTTATTTTACTGAATACCTATAAGCTTTGAGTTGTAGTGTTTTAAAACCAATTAATTTAGCTTGTTATTTTACTGAATACATAAAGGTTAAAATAAAATATTTTATTTAAAATAAATTATTTAAAAAAATATTAATTAAAAAAAAAAAACATTTGTTGGAACAGAAAATGTATCACAAAACCTTGAACAAACCGTAAAACTAAAGGGTTAAAATAAAATAATTTATTATTTATATATATAAATTATATTATAAATAATAAATTATATAATATAAATAATAAATTATTTTATTTTATACGGTTTATTCAAGTTTTTGTGATACATTTTCTGTTCCAACAAATATTTTTTTAAATTGATATTTTTAATTTAATATTTTTTGCTTTTTATCGAATTTTAAACAAATAGTTATTTTATCATGAAATTCAAATTAAATATTGATGCACAGTATGCTCATGACGGGTAAAAGTTAACGAAGTCCAAAGCTTGGACAAACGTGTACTCTGGGAATATACTTGCTGTTTTCGAACAGTTGACAGTTGTGTATGACTAAGGTATATACCAGAAAAATCGCACGCGCAAAGTAAACTTGGAGTGTATCCAGAGTGCACTATTACAAATAGCGCTCTAGGAACGCGTCTGAAGTATTTTTTATATTTCTTGCTTTACTCTTCTCTGTTTAATGAGTCAACATTAATACAAATAATTTTTATTTTACAGTTAGATGCTGAGTTTAGGCGATTCTGTTTGGAAAAAGATTCCAATTCCAAATTTGACGAATTTCGTTCTCTTATTGAACGACTTCATCATTTAAAAGATATAGCATTTTTGGTATCATATATAGATCCGAGTGATCAAGATCTGCTTCCAATTAATAATGATGATAATTTACGGAAAGCATTGGTTAATGCTAAACCACTTCTTAGAGTCATCGTTCAAAGAAAAGGTATGTTTACATTTTATATTTACCAAGTGAGTTAAAAAAGTATCTAGACCCCTAGATTCTAGGCGGAGACCATAAGTGAACAAAACAAAAATTCAATTAAGTGTTCTTCTATATTGTATTAATTCAGAAAATTATCGTTAAACTGAGATAACATCAATTATTTGTATTTAAGTGTCAGAGTGGAAGTTTTTGTTGTAAAGCATAGTACCTACATAATTTTTTTTATTCACTTATACATATTAAAATCTGTACGTTTTATATGGAAGTATTCAAAACATTTTTTTATCGCAAACCTGTGTTAGTATATCGTAGTGGGCACCTAGCTTTCACCCAAGAGGCGCGGTACCAAAATACTTTATTTAATTTTTTCCGTCAAAAATACTGGATATTTTTTATTGTCAAATTAACTTAATGCAATGTGGCACTCCTATTTAATTTTTTTTTTTTAAATATTCCATTTTAGATTTTCTTGAGGTAAGTTTAGGGCTTAAATAATATATAAATCCAGTTAACAAAATGTTTATCCTGACTGACGTCATAATTTGACAATTGTTACAATGTTTATTTAATTACATATTTCATTAGCAAAATGATAATGAGGAACCCTACCAACAATCAGGATACGAATAACGACAAAAATGACGAGACTCATCTTCAGAGACTTTTCTACACGTCACTTTTATCGTCGACGATATCGTCAGACGACATCCTTGACGATATCCGATATGGTCAGACGATTTATTTGACGCTATCAAATACATTGTTACAACGATTAAATTGACGATACCAGCAGATGCATAGTCTGACGACATCGACGAAAATAGTATAGAGACGTATCGTAAAACGTCATTTAACGACTATCCTTGGGATTGATTGCCACTTCCTTCAATAATTGACGTGGAATAAACAATAAAAATGTGGTAATTCATTCTTACATTTAACCAAAAAATGCCAGCTATACCGGCTATAATATTATTAAAACAATAGCTATAGCTATAGAAATACCAAGTTTACAATTACTTAATAACAAACACTAAAAAATAGACATTAAATAAATATTAAAAGTGTCATTGCTGCTCCATAAATAGAATATCAAAAAGTTTGATTTTAAACAAGCGCTGTGACCATTTCAACAGATTACACCTCTAATTAAGTGGCAAGCGATTAACGTAGCTAGAAAGGATATATGAAAAAGACCTTTTAAATAATTCAGTACGATGAATCTGTACTGTTATGGCGTTTTTAAATCTTATATTTTTATTATGAATATCAGTACGGTACGAAACGTTTCGATGTAAGTAGCCTGGTACCTTAGTTTTAAGAAGGTTTTGAAAGAAACAAATTGTTTAACCACTTGTTATTTATCAGGGTGTAACTAATTCTATCAAAGTTCCTTATGCCAAATATTAATCGAAGGCAGCAATTTTGCAACTTTTGGATTCGGGAAGCATCGTATTTTGTAAGACATGGGACCATAGACAGTTTCACAATAATTCAATAGGGATAAAACCAAACTATTACATAGCATTGACTTGGATTTTAAAATTAATAAATGTCTGACATGGTAAATTTGCTTTAAATTACAGTAAGCGGCTTTAACGCCACTTTCAACATACTCAGAAAAACGCAGATCCATTAAAAGTTCCATATTTTTGACGCAATGTTGAAATTTAGGGGGTTTATTGTTTAATAAAATATTGTTCAATCTCATTAACTTACCATTATATTGTACCGTCTGAGTTCTATTACACAAAATCATTTTTATTATTTTGTAATGGCCTTTTTGAAGGGAATCAGAAGAAATTGGAAGGAAAGTGATAGGTACTTATTCTTAGTCACTATTTATTACACTTAAACTTACACTAATACAACTTAATTTGAAATGTTTTGAAATAAAGATGTTCTTGATTTAGGATTAACTTAGATAGATTTTCTTAGAGTAATGGTTGATTGAGACTTAACTGAACTGAAGAGTGTCGAAGTTACAATTTATATCATGGACCAAACAGATAACAATTGTAGTAGGGTAGTTTGGTCACGTAATCTTGTTTATTAGTTTAGTCTATAATAATTACATTTTAATTATCTTCAAAATAGTTATTTGGGAACTGCAAACCATAAAACAAATAAACAAGATTATTATTAAAATACACACTATTTAAATTGGTTTTTTACAAATTATAAAATAAAATATTATTTAAAATTATAACTAACTTAAATTTAATATAACATGATAGGTCGGTACATTACACCTCCCCCTATGTAAAAAAAATTAAAAGCTTTCTTTTAATTTTATGAGCCTGGCACTCCTTCTTAATGGAGTTTCTGATTTGTTTTCTACAGTTTCTTCAAATATGTATTATTTACAATGTCTTTTGGTATAAATTTTGATTCATACTCATCTGCTAATTTGTCCAATTTATCTTATTTGTCACTTGCTACTTTTAAATAATCTTTATATAAATTTATTGCTTGAATCGGAGGAATAAATAATTTGGATTTGTTTTGTTTTTTTACTTTTTCATTTTCATTGCAATATTCTTTTGATTCTAGGGATTATAGAATTAATATTGGTTTCGAAATTAGGATTATCTGAAATTATGGTTGTAGTACTGGTGTAAATTTCACAATTTGGGTTTACGTTAATGATACCTGAGTTATTTAGTGTTAAGGATTCAGTACCTTTGTTTATGCAACTTACAGTTATATCTGTTGGTTGTGGTAAAGCGAATAGCCAACTATTTTTCTAGTCTATGCCAAATCTCAAATTGTCCTCTGTTTTCTTGTGTCACATGATTGTGATAAGGAATGTTGGAGGAGTTCTAATTCAAAAATTGGTCGAGAGTGTGCAAGATATAAAGGTTCGTAATTTTTACAAACGGTGATGTTGAAGAATGTTTTTCAATTATTAAGATTATTAAATACGGTATAAAGATTTTTATCTTCTAAAACTGCAAGATAGTTTATATTGGGAATTATGAAAAGAAATTCGTTAGTATTATCTATCAAAGGTAATGAAATTAAGTTATACAAGTTAAAATTGTTTGTATTTACCAAGGGATTTGAAATTACAAAAATGATCCTGTTATTCAAAAAAATGATAAGTAATTGTAAGGACATCAATAAATTTATAAGAGTTATGGTCTTCTAATGGAAATACATTTGAAGTGGATGTTGGGAGAAATGGAAGGGTTTTTGAAAGTTCTTTTATGAGTTGACTTGGAGTCATAACTGAAGGATGAAGAGAGTTATTTTTTGCGAATAGAATAGCATTGATTATTTCATTATATTGACTTTCTTCGACAGTTTGTTTTAAATCTAGGTTAAAATGTGCATCTTTAAGATTTTCGGTTATATTGTACAGTTTTTGAAAATTTTCGTTAAATATTTTTGGTTTTATCAATATTTATAATTGTGGAATTAAAATTATGGATTGTGCTTTAAACGACTATAATTTGTTGTTTGTTTAATGAGATCATATGTTTTTCATTTTCGTTTACTTTGTTAATGGCTTGGTCATAATATTCGGCGTCATTAACATCCATAGTTCCAAACAGTGATTTGAATGCAACTCCTATGCCATTAAACAAAGCTCGTTTGCGTCTATGATTATGACCCATTAAGGTTTTTACAATATTTTGTTTTTCATAAAGGGAAGGAATTAGATGATTTAATAATTTAATTGTAGTTTATTGTCGAAGTTGGTCATGTCGATGTATGTGATTAAGTTCCAGTTATTTTGAAGGAATCTAATTCTTGACAGGTATCCTTTGTATAGAATATGGATTGCAATTCCCATATCCCATCAATAGGAACAGTTCGTACCTGAAACAAAAGCATGTTTCAGTCTGGTTGTGCGGACAACTATTGGTTTATTTTTTATATGTGTGGTACAATTGACAGGAGAGTTAATTTTGTAAATTTTATAAGGACCTGTGTAATTTTAAGTTAGTTTTTTAGAATGTCCTGGCTTTTGAGTTTTATTTAATAAGTAAATTTTTGATGTTTTTATCGTAATAGGATTTGTTCCTTTCTTTACTTTCGATGAGGTTTTTTTCTAGCGATTTCATGACTTTTTTGTAACTTAAGGGTTAATTCGCTTACATAATTGGCGTATGTATACGCGAGCACTTTTGTATATAAACTTTTGTATATAAACTTTTTGTATATACTTAAATTCTGGGGTTCTAGTGAGGAAAGATTAGGTTTGGTTCCAAAAATTAATTCGAAAGGGGAAAATTTTGTAGATGTATGAATAGAGGTGTTATAGGAAAACATTGCAAAATTTAACCAATTATCCCAATCGGTTTGTTTGTCGTTAACATAGTGTTTTAAATAATCTGCGAGGGTAAGATGACTTCTTTCCAAAGCGCCGTTAGATTGAGGATGGTAGGCTGAGCAATTAATTTGTTTTATTTTAAAGAGTTTTGAGATTTCTTGTAGTAATTTTGAAGTAAAATCTTTACCTTGATCGGTAAGAATTGATTCGGGTATACCGAATTTACAAATAAAATTTTCAACTAAGTTTTTCGCGATAGTAATTGCTTCGTGATTTGGAATAGGGTAAGCTTGAGAAAATTTTATTAAATCATCTTGGAGCGTTAGTATGAATTTGTTTCCGGATTCCGATAGTTGAAGTGGACCTACAATATCTAAGGATATTCTTTCAAAAGGTTTTGAACTAGTGGTTGTGATTTCCATGGGCTTTTTGTTTTTTGTTCTGACTAATTTATTTTTTTGGCATGATTCACAATTTTTTATAAAGGATTTAATATTTTGTTTCATGTTTTTCCATTTGTAGTACTGTTTAATGTATGTCTTATGAAAACCAGTATGTCCTGAAGTTGGATTGGAGTGGTTTTCTTTTAATATTGGTTGAATTTCTTCTGGTTTTGGTTCAATTAGATTGTTATGATAAATTTTTACTAAAATGTTACTGTTTTTAAAGACAAATCTTATTATTAATCTAATTTTGTGCCATTTAAGTTTGTCGAGATTTG